TGTGGCCAAGAGCTGGGCTACTGAGAACCAAGAGCATCTACATAAAATGAGAGCTTCTCAATTTTCAGGTTCTCAGGCTCCCTCCCAGACTTATTAAATAAGAATCTACATTTCTAACAAATACACTAGGTGATGTGAATTTACCTTAAAGTTTGAAAGGACTGGCCTAGAGATCTCTGCTGGCAAACTCCTGTGCATTTTTCTTATCAACTTCTGCCTGTTTTCATCTCAGACATATTTCTTGCTTATGACTTCCTTTTCTGATGTTGAAGTAGTTTGCCACCAGTGCCTATGCCACCTCAGATCACAAACTTGCCATTGGTAGTGCTATTTGTCAAATATTTGAGTTCTATCTCATTTGGGGCATGCTTCATGGCACCATTGTAGTTGGTCGGGGCCATGCAACTAGTTCTGCTCCATAAGTTTTCGAGTGCAAATGATGGTATTTTAAACTTATGAGATTGGGAGTTACTGCAACATAATCCTCCAGACCATCCCATCGACACAGCATCCTTGGTACTATTTCAATTTTCAAGTAGTTAAAAGAGTGCTATAACTTCTGCTTTGGGTTAAAGTGTGCTCACCTGTATGTGGAAATAATATACATTATTGCCTATTCTTTATTCTTCTGCTATCCATCTATGGATTTGAATGAGAGATAACAATGATTCCAATTTTTTCCTAAACCAATACCTGACTCTCCCAATTTTTCAGTCCTGACCATTTAGCCATGAAATTAGCCATATCCTATAATACAGGGTGGACATAAAGTTTGCGGACAATTTAAAATAGTTTAACATAGTAAATGACACATTGACCTAAACTGCCTATTATGAACTGAAGGCCATTCAACACACGTGTGGTCTGCCTAGAGAAGATTCCAAAGATGCCAGCAGTTTTACGAATCATTTGGCTTTCTGGATTATGGGGTCCAAGAAGGGCTGCTTACATTTCATCTTCTACTTGAATCCAAAATCTTGATTTGAATGTACTACAACTCGACCTCACTAGTCTTCCAGCTTGTGTACTCTTTTCTGTCCTTACATATTCATGTCCCAGCTTGTGTACTAGTGTGTACAAGTCACCAAATTTTCCATAGCAAGATATGCTTTCTTCAAGGCTGCTGAGCTCCTTTAAGATAGGGATGTTAGGCTCGGCGCCTATAGCTCAACCGGCTAAGGCGCCAGCCACGTACACATAAGGTGGCAGGTTCGAATCCCCAGCCTGGACCCGCCAAAACAACAATGACAACTGCAACCAAAAAATAGCCAGGCGTTGTGGCGGGCGCCTGTGGTCCCAGCTACTTGGGAGGTGGAGGCAAGAGACTCGCT